TTTGGAGACCAAAAAAAAAAGAAAGAAAATACTTTGAATCTACAGGACAAAGCTAAATAGTTTTTAAAAGAAAATGCCATATGCGAGTGCTGCATCATATATCAGTATTGCTGAGAAAAGGGCAAACCAGCCTTGGAACCATAATAACGACCAAGTCACTCATCTTGAACTGAATAATAAAACATACTTCCTAAGGATTCAGTTCCTTTTGCTTTTCAATTAATGTCTATATTTCTCTCAGTCTCTTTCTGTTTCTCCCTATTTATATACATATAAATTTATATTTATTAAATTCATATATATAAAACCAACTTTTTTGAAGACTTTAACTATTTATTTTGTTTTCGCTATCAGGCAGTGCTTACTAGCCTCAGATGCAGAACATCTGCCTGTGGGCTGGAGACCAGAATAATACAGTCAAGGGCTTGGAGTCGACGGCAACGTCCCTTACAAGTCTGTATCCAGAGGCCAAAAGATCTGCGATGGGAGACCAAAGGATGAGAGATCTGCACTGGAAGCCAGGAGATGATGTCCAAGATAAAAGCAAGAATTGAAGATCCCCCAAGAAAGAAAACAGCCGATCTCCCTTGAAGATAAACCTCCACAAAATAAAGCAATTTCCCCAGGAAGATCACCATGAAATCCTCCCCTCCCGTTCTCCTTTCAGGCTGTTTGACAACAAACCTCAGGCGTTTTCCACTTCCGGAACCAAGCTGACACAATTCAGCTGTGCACTCTCATTCAAGTTGACCATTAATTCATCCATCACTCACTACATTCAGAATAATCTTTAATGCTGACATTTTTATAATGCTGCTGTTTTTCTTGCCTTACTCTATACAAATCCAGTAGATATATTTTAATAAGAAATTCTTATAAATCTGAAAAATATATTACTCTTCCAGGAATTATATTAACCTAAATCTTCCAGAATTTATAAATTCTTAAGACTTTCTTCATGATGGTTCACAGATCGTAGATAACTGCAGTGGAGGTGATCACGCTGTACAATAGAGAAAGAAGCATTTGCAGTGTGGATTCTGAAGGACTATGGTGTGTAAGAAACATTACTAGTCTGCCTAAGTGAGTTTGTAGGCTGGAGTGGACCGGGGTGCTGTCCTTTACCCTAGCGCACATTCAAGAACCATAAATGGAACTGTGTTCCTTCCAAACGCAAGGAAATCCTTTCTGATAAATATTACTTATCTAACATGACTACCACTGCACATGGCCTGCTGTGGATGAAATGCACTTTCCAAAAGAAGTTTTATACAACCCATCAGTGTGGAAAAGGCTGATGTGGTTAAGCAGCAGGGATGAATATTATGGGCCTCAGTGCCCCCTCAGTCTAACAAATGCCACGTATTATAGAGGGAGCAAGAAAGATCCTATAAACATGTGATATGATGGTGACGTTTAAATGATTTGATCTATGCTTTAGCTCCTGTTTTCTATCTCATTTGCTTTTATAAAATTGTATACTGTGAATAAAGCGAATTCTGCAATTCCTACATTAGACATATTCTTTATTAGAGCCCCATTCATATTCATTCAGAGCAACTATGATTTGATGAGGACTGCTGTCATACAGAAACCCCGAACTGAGGGTCTCAGTGTAATCGATAACACAGACAAAATTGGGAGACTATTACTCCCCAGTCTGGAGAATGATCCTATGTGCATGTGTGATGATGTATCAAGACTCTCTGACACGGTAAGAAATAGAATGGATAAGATTACTGACATTTCGAAAAGGGAAGAAAGGAGCTAAAGGTGTAGGGAAGGTGGGATGGGTAGGGGAAGGGTAATAAGGGAAAAGAAAAAAAATGTGAGATGATGAAAAGATGGAAATAAAGTGTTTGTAGATGGGGAGGGGAGGAGGGGGTGAAGGGAGGGCAGAGGTAAGGGGAAAAAATGAGAATCAAGACTTGTCATGTAGAGGTACAAGATCCCAACAATGAATGTAACGGTACTGTATCCCTAAAATGTACCAATAAACTCAATTAAAGCTGAAAAAAAAGAAAAAAAAAGAAATAGAATGGCAATCATAAGGAAAGAGAGATCAGACTTCAAGCCATGATTCACTATGACTCGTGGTATGAGAAAAATCAGCCTGACTGTGTTTGAGAACTAACTTTGCTTCCAAGAGCTGGTGCATCTTTCCCTCTAGGTCTCAGTTTCACAGTCATTAACAGCATTTGAGCTAAGTCTCTGAATTTCTTCTCAACCCTCAGGCTTAATTGGACTATTTGTAATATTACACTGTTGTTCTATGTAGATTTAGTATTCAAGACTATTTTAAAATTTTATTACATATTTGCTAATTGGATTTTAACTTTCAACCAAACTATATATAGATATTAGACAGTTTGTGTGACATTTATTTGAAAATAAAGGGTGCCCTAGATAATGGAAGAAAGTATTTGCAAACTATATATATATGACACAAAGAATGTAAAGAACCTAAAAAAACCCATTAGCACTCAAAAGAAGAAAAAAATAAGAGATTAAAAAATGGACATAAACCTAAGCAGACATTTTCCAAAATAATTGATACATGTCAATATCTACAGGAAAAAATGCTCAACATTACTGATCAATAGGAAAATACTAATCAAAACCACAGTAAGATTTCTATCTCCAGTAAGAATAGCTAACATTAAAAGCACTAATGGTAAGAAGTGCTTACACGGGCAAGGATGTGGAAAAAAGGAAAACTCTTCACTCTGTTTATGAGAATGTAAATTAATAGAGATATTATTCAAAAGAGTAAGACATTATTATAAAAAATTAAAAATAGAACTACCATGTGATTCATCAATCTCACTCCTGGGTGTATATCCCAAGAAAATGAGATCAGTATGTTAGGAAATCATCAGAACTGTCCCAGTAATTGCAGTAGTACTTACAATAGCCAAGAAATAAAAACAACCGAAATTTCCATCAACTGATGAGTGGATAAAGAAAATATGGCATACACTCATGAAAGAATACTATGTAGACACAAAAAGAATGAAACCCAGTTATTTGGGGAAATTTGGATGGAACTGGAGATCCTTACATTAACTGGAATAAACCATCATCATGAGGACAAGTATCAGATGTACTCACTAATACACAGGATCTGAATATTTTAGTCATAGACACTGACAGCAGAATGATGATTACCAGGGTCTGGAGTGAATAGAAGGAAGGACAGACAGAGACTTGTTGAATCATGGATATCGAATTGCATTTAGATAGTAACAAGAAGTTCCGTTGTGTTATGATCGCTCAGTAGGGTAACTACAGAGAACCATTATATACTGAATGTTTTAAAATGCTAAAGAAAGTATTTTGAATGTTTTCATTATGAAGGAATGATAAATATTTGAGGTATAAATAGATATATTTACTTTGATTCAAACATTGTAATTCATACCTGTTTCATAACTTCGTATTACATCCCGTTTATCTGCCCCATTTTAGTTTTTATATGTCAGATCAAATAAGGGAATTTTGAATTTAAAGTATTATAGACATAGTAGTGGTTTGTGTGGCATTGTTTTAAGAAATATTATGCTTGATATAACACCAAAATCAAGAACATTAAAAGAAAATATACAGATATTTTGGAATATTTGAAAATTATATATCTGATAAAGAAATTGTATCCAGAATGCATAAAGGACCCAATAATGGAAAGAATGAAAAATGACCCAATTAAAACATGGTAAGAGGATTTAAATTTATATTTCCCCTTTATAGGTATTCAATGAAACAATGATCAGCCTCATTAGTCATTCAGAAAATTCCAATAACAACCACAATAACTTACTCCTTTGAGTCCACTCGAAGGGTAAGAATACAGAAGATAACAAGGTTTAGTGAGAATGCAGAGAAAATGTACTTCCAAAATATTGTACAAATGAATTTTCAATAATAAAACAGTCCCTTTGAAAAACTACTGGATGCTTTGAAAAATGTTACACACTAAATTAACCCAGTAATTTCACTCCTAGTTACATATCCTAGGGAGTGTAAGTATGTTCACAAAAGACTTGTGCATATATTATTCAGATTTTTCTTAAAGTAGAGGCATTAAATATTCGTAAACAGGTGAGTAGATTACAAAAATTGTAGTACAGCCATTCAATTAAATGAGAGTCAGTCACCAAAAAGAGCGGAGTACTAGCAATTGCTACAACAAAAACGATCATTTAAGCATTATTGTTAAGTGAAAGGTCAGCCGCAAGATTCCATTCATATAAAATGTCCCGAATGGTCAAGTCATAGAAATCAAAACTAGGTTAGTAGTGTTAGGGACTAGAAAGAGGAGAGAGTGGAGAGTGATTGTTAATGTGAAAAGGATTTGTGTGTGAGATGAGGAAAAATACCCTTCAAGAGTTAAAGTTAGGAGAGTTCGTTAGAATGTAGCAATTTCCTAACTCTTAACAAGCCAAATGGTATATGTGGAACAGACATTGAATGGTTCATCTATAGAGAGCTCTCTAAAAGTCAGTTCTGAAAGATCAATGGATATTGGAAAAAAGTGAGGGCAACAGTCAAGTACTAAATATTAAGAATATTTTAACTTGGTGAGGGGATGTAAAGATAGATATACAACTATTATGTCAAATTTCATAAGACAATATATGCACCTTATAATACTTTTGTTATTGAAACAGAAATGAATATTTAAATAATTGTATATATGGATGTGATTACCGGGTAATATTGACAGAAAGATCATAACTAAAATTCTAGAAGACTGAATGATATAATTTTTCTATTTTATTTTATTTTGAAAAATGTTATTGCTAACAAAATTTTTCTCTAATGAAGGTGTACAATTGGATAGTTTAACCTTTAAACATTCTATTGAAATTAAATACATTCCTTACCCCTAGTGAATTTTATAGTCCCATTAATACAATTAAAAATCACGTTTTAATTGTTTATTTCCTACAAATATTTCAGTTGTGAACATAATAAGTTCTTCAAAACTCTTTTCCATGGCTCTATCTCACAGTCCTGAATAATTTCCTCAGTACCTCCTTCATCTCCTTATTCCGTAGACTATAGATCAAAGGGTTGACAAGTGGTGTTAACACAGAATAGAACAAAGTCACAATTTTTTGCATCCCTGCTGGATTACCTGCTGTGGGACTCACATATACAACCATGATGGAGCCATAGAAGAGGGACACCACAGCCAGATGGGAGCCACACGTGGAGAAAGCCTTTTTCCGGCCTTCAGCTGAGGGGACCCTGAGCACAGCTCTGATGACCAAGGTGTAGGAGCTTGTGACGAAGAGGAAGGTGGAGAAAATGAGAACTGAGTTATACAGGGCACAGATCATTTCAGTGGTGGGAGCTGGTGAACAGGACAGTTTTATAAGGGGTCCTGGGTCACAAAGAAAGTGATCTATCGTATTGTGACAACAAAATGGGAGCTGAGAGATCAAGTAAACAGGCAAAAGAAAGCACAAAAAGCCGCACACCCAACAACAAGCACCCATTCTGAAGCATCTCTGAACAGTCATAATGGTGGCGTAGTGCAGGGGCCTGCAGATCGCAAGATACCTGTCAAAGGCCATGACAGACAAGAAGAAAGTCTCAGTGGTGCCCATGGAAAAGAAGAAGTAGAACTGCAAGAAGCAGCCAGAGAAAGAGATGGTTTTCTTTTCAGAGAAAAGGTTGGCTAGTATATTGGGAACAGTAGCGTTAATATAACACATCTCCAGGAAGGAAAAATTGGCCAGGAGGATGTACATTGGAGTTTGTAGTCGAAGGTCACATCTCACCGCACAGATAATGCACAGGTTTCCAATTAGAGTAGAGATGTATGTTCCAGAAAAGATTGAAATGAGGAGGATCTGAATATCCCGGGTGCAGGAGAAACCTAACAGAATGAATTTACTCACAGAGCTAGAGCAATTATTTATACGTGAATTTGTTTTTGTTTCTAAAGCTGCAAAGAAAAAATAAAAGAAAAGATTTCTAGATTAGAAGTAGTCTTATATACCATGATCCATTCAGAAAGAGGCCTTGAGTAGAGTCAGGATGGAATTCATGCCAAGAAGTAGCAAACTACTATGACTCGAGTCAAGTCACTTTTATAACTTGAAAATGTGCTTTGTCCTACTATAAACACTCTAAGCACAGTGTACAGAGACCCTCTGAGGTATTCAGTCAATTTATTGGTTGAGTAAAAACCAAAACCAAAACCAGATCAAACAAAAACCAACCCCCCCAAACCAAACCAACCAAACAGAAAACAAATTTATATAAGGACCTACAATTTTAGGCTGAAAAATAAATGAATAAGTTCTGAATAAATACAGCAAAGAGATACCAATGTTTCTGACATACAAAGATATTAAAGAGATTGATCTGTTGTATTTTTAAATCTATTTGTGACAGAAATAAATACCATAAAGTTGATTACAGGACAATATTTTGGTGTATTCATAGAATTTAAATATGTACTCAGTTATCAAACTGTATAGTAGACAATGTGAAATAGGAAGAAAAGGTCTAAAGGGTAGAAGGAAGTGGGAGAAGGAGGTTGGAAAGGAAAGAAGAGAAAGGAAACATATAAGAAAAGGAAAAAAATGAAAAGAAAGTCTTTCTAATAGGGAGGGATGGAGGGGTTGAATGGAGGGCAGGGAAATGTGGAAAAAATAAGAGATCATATAAAGGTTCAGATTCCCATTGATGACTGTCATCATATTGTATACCTAAAAGTACCAATAAAATTAATGAAAAAAATGTACTCAGGTTATTTTAGTTTTGTTAGGCTAAGAGATATATTTCTATATCAATTTTGGACAATTTAAGTTAATATTTAGAATAGAATTTATGAATATTTTATATAAATTCAAACACATAATTCACCTTTTCAATAAAATATACTGCTAAAATACTATTTGCACATTTAAAAAAAATGTTCACTGTAATCATTACTTGAAATGCTACCAAAAAGTAAGAAAAGAGATCTGGATAAATGAATTTTTATGTGCAAAGTTATTTGTTGTTTGAGCACTTATAAAGAAGAAATCACACATTCTTCATTTTAGATATAATGACAATTTTGAAAATACAGTATTCTTTATTCCTATCACCAGCAATGAATCCTTTCAATAAAATTAATGTAAATTTGTGAGATAAAATATGATATTTAGTTAACCTGTTTAATACGTTGTAACTGGAATAGAAAGTGAGTAATCAGCATTTGTATGATTTTTGTATGGAAAAGTAAACAATCAAAAAATTTTTTTATCAGGTGTAGGGACAGTGAGAAGGATAGGGAAAAGGGAACAAGGGAAAAGGAAAAAAACCATGAGAAAATGTAAAAATGGAATTAAAGTGTTTGAAGGGGGGGAGGGGAGGGAAGGGTGAAGAGAATGTGGGGACAAAGGGAAAAAATGAGAACCAAGACCTGGCATGTAAAGGTACAAGATCCCAGTAATGAATGTAACTGTACTGTCTACCTAGAATGTACCAATACATTCAATTTAAAAGAAAAAAAATAAAACAGGCAGTAAAGAGGAAACAATGGCAAAAAGGAAAAAAATTTATCAAGACATAATGCTTGCAGGACCTTTCAGTGATTTTTAAGATCCTTTCAAAGCAGCTATGTCAAAACAGTTCAACAGTATTCATTCCTTTATCTCTATTTTTATTTTTCTTCATTAGTAAATAGAGTTTTTTAATTCATTAAGCTTGTTGGTACATTTTCAGTATACAATATTATGACATTCATCATTGGGAGGTTTGAACTCTGCATGGTGTGTGATATCACAGCAGACCAATCAAAGAAGTAAATACAATAATCTGTTTTACATTAAGACAGACAGTAATGTAGTGACAAAAAGTTATGAATTGAAACTCCAAGACTTTTTGAAGGATTAAGGATCAAACCTAGGAAATTAACACTGAGGTACACCCAGCACTTTATTTTTTATTTTGAGAGAAAGCCTTGCTAAATTGCTTGGGCCGGGCTCGGATTCATTATCTTCTGCTTCAACCTCTCAGAGTGCTAGGATCACAGGCCTGTGACTCCAAGTCTGGATTTTTTTTCTGACATAAAGCCATTTCCCCATAAAAGTATCATTTATGGTACCACCATAATTAATTTATTGTTGCTCTTTTAGATTAATTTATAAACAAATACTTTTTAGGTTTAATTTCTAAATGGTAAATATTAATGACCATCACTGATGTAAACAGAAGCTATTTGGTGTACTTGGCAATTTATAAGATCTTAAGAGGTCCTAAACTAAACACTTGAAGGCAACTGTTCAAGATGAATCCTACCCTTTAAAGAATGACTAAGCCCCCCTTTTCTAGCTGCTGTAAATAAATTGTTGCATTGATAAAAGCTTCATGTAATCCTTGATTTGTTTCCAGTTTTCTTTGATATTAGTCTTACTTTATTTGTATAGTATGTGTGGGTTTTATGCGTCAATAGCAAATTGATTTTGAAAAAAATAACCTTCAGCAAAGAAAGCATAATCTCTTTCAATTCTGTATTTGGACGTTATGGAAAAATGAAGCTTCAGTTTGCACAAATCTGCCAAGCAATGACATAATCATTTTATTGTTGAATTGCTTTTATTTCTTTTAGTTTTTTATATAATAGAGAAATGCAAGGTAAATTAAAAGTAATGTAAATTGATTCCTATTCTTAAATTCATCATGTGTTTTTATGAAATCAAACACTTGAAACTGCAGTTTCTGAAAAACAATTTTCAAAGTTTGTTTTTTTTTTTAGAAAAGATAATATAAGGAAAAGAATGGGGACATACTTTTGTAAGTAGGAGAGGAAGAGAAGATAAAGGGAAGGGAAGGAAATGGGGAAGAAAGAAAAATCAAGATATGCCATGTGCAGGTACAAATTCCCTTTGTTGAATGTTAACATTATATATATCTAAAATGTACCAATAAAATTAATTTTTAAAAGCAAAGATATTTTTAAAAATAAGCATTGAAACAAGATAAACTATGATTTTGTGGGAAATTTTCTAAACTAGTCATTTTTATTCAAATTTCAATACAATAATATATAATATCATGAACAGATGCTGCAGCCTGGATGAATAACAATTTTTCGATGCCGGTCCACATATGTCCTTAGAATTTCTGTGTTGCCTTTGTTGATAGTTTTGAGCTTTCATTATTCAGGTTTTTCACATCATGCTTCACTCACTGCCTATATGTACGTATTTGTGTAGGAGCTATCTTTGTTCTCTGCCTATATATTTCAGTTTGATTCAGTTTCTTTCCTTAAGGGTGTGTTTGTGTGTGTGTGTGTGTGTGTGTAATTTTTTGTAATTATTTTTATTTCTATATTTTATTCAACTTTGAATATATTTTATTCAGACTTACTTCAAAAACCGCCTGGTGTATAGTCCCTTAGCTTATTTTTTTACATGTTAATGATTATATATGGAAATGAAATCTATATATTTTTTATATTTATTGATTAGTTTTTAATAAAATTTTATTTCAAAAATTGTGTGAAATATATCGTATGTCTTTTTTCAAAAGGCAAAAAGTGTTTAAAATAGCCACTGATACATACAATAATTCTGATATTTGACATATATAAAGAATTGCTTATAAAGCTAACAAACATAGAAAACATTGATAACAGACATTTCAAATTCATAAAAAATACAAAAGAACGTAATAGATTACTGCTACCTGTATTATCACTTAAAATTTATTAAACAAGGAAAAGAAAAACAGATTGATATAAGTTTAATCAAACATTTCTGAGAGTCCAAATATATAATAAGTAACCCATTAAAGATATATGTAAAATCATTAAAAATAAAGACAAAGCACCCATAATATCCAAAAGAATGCTACAGGTTCATAATTATAAGAAAAAGAATATTATAGGAGTTGATAGTGTTGGTCAGTGCTGCTGCAATGAAGAGTGTCTGACTATCTAGTGTATTCCACCAAAAAGCTATGCATGGAATCACATTCTGTAATAACATTGTCTTTCACCAAAACTCAAGACTTTATATAATATCATTCTTCACTGTTTAGCTGAGACAAAATAGTGAAATATAAATCAAAGTTAAATATTTCACTGACAAGTTTTATTAACTTTGATCATGTGTGCACCTCCAAATTTACAATCAAAATATGAATAAAATCTTGATTTCTAATCCCTAAAGTTCATAGAAAGTAACAGGACCCATGCAATATATTATTGCACATTTTACTAAAGGAGTATATGTATACTTTCATTTTCTGAAATTTTCCATTGACTTAGAGTCCAAACTCCATCATATTTTCTAAAATTCAAAGGGTAAAGCAATCCAGTAGACTTTTGAAATAACACTTTTATAAGCTCTTGTTCAAAGCCTATAGCTTTTATTCTGAAGAGAAACACATTTATAATTCACTTGCTACATGTTATAATACAAAACTAGAATAAAGTGGAGGAGTGGTAATAGGGAAAATTTGTAACTTCTTAATTACACCTTACCTGAAGATACATGAGGAATATCATAAAAATCTATGTGGTTGAACGTCATGTTCTACATTAGGTTCCAGCTCTAGTCTCATGACACGTTATAGTGTTCCAGGCTCTAGTGTGGAGACTTGTGAACCACTGAAGAGTATTTTAGGAGCTAGAACATTATGAGATTAATAAATCAAGGCCAGATGTGGTGGCACAACATGGTAATCTCAGCTCTGGGTAGGATCCCAAGGGTGAGCCCAGGGTGGCTAAGTTGGTAAGAACCTATCTCAAAATAAAAAAATAAAATAAAATAAAAATGGAGCTGGAGAAGAATCTCAGTGTGATGTCCCTGGGTTCAATCCTCAGTACAATAATAAACAAATGAAAAAAAAATCTAGCATCGAGATGGCTGTGTTTGCTAATAAAAATGGATAAGGCAAGCAGCTTCTTAATAATTAGGAAAGAATTGAGCCACATTGTCAAGACTGAAAAAAAGAAACCATTGAAACAGGAGATCTTTATCTTTTGTGATGACCATCCCTACGAAATAATCTCTAGGGAGGCAATTTATAACACAGTTCCTAATGAACGTGATCTTCTGTTCAGCAGTTTACTCACTGTGTTGACGTTTGCTTATTTTTTGTGTTTCATCATTAAGATTCCTATATGAACTATTTTTAATGATCCTATAATTATTATCAAGAACCACAAAGTACTCAGTTAGACATTGTATTGTGGTTTATTTATTTTACATTCCCTTATCACTCTTTTACTCATATTTTTAAAGACTGTTTTTGATAAAACTGGAATGACTACCTTTGTCTGGATAGCTGCTCTTTCCCTATTAGATTACTTAGGAATAGTTTATGACTTTTAAAAATTATTCGTTTGCAGCTAGTTGGGGTCCTATATGCCTCAGTTATCTGAATGTCAAATTCTTCCCCTCTGTTTGGGAAGTTTTCTGTCATTAATTCTGCAAACAGCTTTTTTAAGTCATTTTTATTTTCTCCTGCTACTTCATGTATTCCTATCAGTCTTATGTTATTCTTCTTTGCATCATCTAGGAGTTGTTTTATCGATTTCTCATGTTCTCTTACTGTTTTTAAGAGACCTCTCTTTTCATGGTCACTGACTGCAATCTTATCTTCTATATCTAAGAGCCTATCTTCGCATTCTTTTATTCTGTTGTGTACACTTTCAATAGAGTGTTTAATCTCCTGGATATCTGTTTGAATCTGTTTTATGGATTCCATTTCTTTCCTATGTTGGGCGTTTATTTTTTCCATTTCTTTCTTATGCTGGGCCTTCATGGCTTCATCATGGTCCTGAGCTCATCTATTTTTTTGTCAGTTTCTGCTCTAGAGTCTCGAATCACGACTTCCATTTTGCTCACTATCTCTATGGTTATCTGGGAAATTATTTCTATTTTGAATTTTTCTAGAGCCTGATTGATCTGTTTTGTTACTTCATGTGCTTTGAGTTCAGGGTGTCCTGGTGGTTCACTATCGGCCTTTTCATCTTTTTCTAGAGTCTAGAGCCTGATTGATCTGTTTTGTTACTTCATGTGCTTTGAGTTCAGGGTGTCCTGGTGGTTCACTATCGGCCTTTTCATCCTCATTTGCCCTACTGTTTGCCATTGGTGAGCTGGAAGTCTGTCCTTGCGTCTTGTTTAAGTGTTTTATCATTTTGGTTTTTGTTGTTGGACTGTTATTAGTAAGTATTTTCCCAAATTCATTTTCTCTAGTATTTATTCTTATTTTAGCAGTATCTTGGTTACTTCTTGCGGTTTTGCTGTCTGGGCAGGGAAGGCCTGAGAAAGTGGAAACAAATAACAAGTATTGGTAGCCTTCTGCTTGAGGCAGTTCAGTGAAATCTGTGACTAAATCTTCACAAGGAACAGCATCTCCCTCCTGGATTCTTGGGGGCTGGCTGGGCCTTTTTTCCAGATTGTTCTGCACATAGGTCAAACATTTTTCAGAGTGCTTGGGTGAAGATCGTGAGCTGCAGCATGCAGAAGTGACAGCTCAGCATATTCTTCAGTGCTGTTTTTTCCATATGTGACCCCCTAATGGACTTGTCTTACAAACCTGGGGGCCAACATCTCAGGGATAGCTAATTCTTCATTATAGAATTTCCATCAACCTCTTTTTACATATTCTCCAGTTTTCTGGGCAAAACAGTCCTTCTCTTTTGATAAGTAATTTGGGGTCTCCAAAAGGAAGGTTTCTGGGATGAACAGCAGGGCAAGGGCCCCCTTTTGTGGAGTTGTCATGGAAGCTCACTTTATTTCTTGGTATTCTTTTTTATTTCCTCTAGCTTCCGACCTTCCAGTTTTTTTGACACCTCTTGAAGTGCATAACAGCCACCTTTTTGCAAGACCATACATCAAGGAGCTGTGAAATCTCCTGTCTATGTATTTTTTCTCCAGACATTAGGAGTCCCCTCTTTACATATGGCTCTGTGGACATGTAATGTAGTAAGGAATACTTAGAGTCAATATAGATGTTAGTAATTTTTTTCATTGTCAGAAGAAAAGGCTATCAGTTCTGCATTTTAGGCTGAAGTCCCAATAGGCAGAGGTGAGGCCTCTATCACAGAGTACAGTGTCACCATCAAATACCCTGCCTAGCTCATCTTTTCCAATGTAAAATTCCTCCTATCTATGAAGTATTCAGCATTTTTGTCGCTAAGGAGTTGATATGTGATTTTTCCCCAACTCAAGAATACTTTATCCATAATCTCTGCACAGCTATGAAATGGATTGCTGGAAGAAGGGTGGCTGGGTTAAAGGGTACTTAAAATCTCTAGGGTTATGCAGGGATTTTCACATAGAAGCCCTTAACATCAGGTCATCCTTGACTTTGATAGTCAGTGATGTCTTCTCTGGTTCATCAAGGCTATAACTGAACGCGGCACTCAAATAGTCAGCTGCTGTTTCAGAGTCAGCTTGTCAGTTTCCTGGGTCAGCAGGAGAATAGCAGTAAGCATTTTAAAGTATGGAGGCCACTCCAGGGCCATAGGGTCTATTTATCTAGACAAGTACACCAACGGGCAATGCCAGGATCCTATAAACTGTGTCAGGACCCCTGTGGCCAATCCATTTGATTTGTAGATGTACAAGAAGCAAAGCTTGGTTATGTCTGACAGCCCTAGGGCTGGAGATTAGTTTAAGGCTTCTTTGACAGTTTGAATATCCTCTCCTATTTAGCATCCCAGAGAAAGGGCTTTTTTCTCTCCTCTTTGGCAGCTTCATATAAGGACTTAGCCATGAGTGAGAAATTAGTGATGCAGATGCTGCAGAAATATGCTTCCCCCAGAAACTCTCTTATCTGGCATCTGATAGTTAGGTTTGGGAGGGAACAGACATCTTGTTTTCATTCAGTGACCAATTGATGTTCCCCTTTTGTTATCTTAAAACCCAGATATTCTACTTTATTTGGTCAATTTGGGCTTTTATCTTAGACATCCTATATCTTGACTTCCAGAGAAGATGAAGAAGATTTCCGATTCCTTGGAGACAGTCCTAACAAGAGGGGGCTGTAAAAGATCATCTACATATTGTAATAAAACACAGTCACTTCCTAGTTTAGAAAAGCCCTTGAGATCAGTGGCCAATGCTTCTGGAAGATCATAAAGGAGCTCTTAAATGCCTGGGAAGCCTAGTCCAACTGAGCTATTATTTTATGCCAGTAACCTGTCCTCCCATTGGAATGCAAATGTGGCTTGACCAACTGGTGCCAAGCAGAGAAAGAGAGAGAGAGAAAGGTGTCTTTCAAGTCCAGGCAAAAAACCCAAGCAGCACTTGCTGGGATGAGCTCCATTAGTACATATGGGTTTGGCACAGTTGGGTATATGGTTTAAGTAGCCTGATTTACAGCACAAAAATTTTGTACTGGGCTATATTTATTAGTCCCGGGTTTACATACCAGCAAAAGTGGGGTGTTCCAAGAAGACTGGCTTTTGACCGGGATTCCATTTTCCATAAATCTTTTCAAATCTCCCTGGATGCCTTGTATATCTTTCCAGGGGAGGTGATATTGGTAAATTCATACAGGAGTTGCCCTTAGTCTTAGTTTTACTACTACTGGAGCTTGATTTACAGCTATTTCAGATGGATTGTCTTTAGCACATACTCTGGGAACTGTCTGTGTCAAACCATGCAGTTCATTTATTGCTGGTTGGTGTGTTTTGTCAGTGTACAGTCTTTATTCCTTAGCCTGTGGGACAGTGAGGGTTAACACAATAGCCTCTGGGTGAGTCAGATTTAAAGTCATTTTTCCTTGTATCCGAAAGGCAATTTGGGCTTGTAATTTATTAAGTAAATCTCTTCCAACCAAAGCATTTTGGAAATTCGGAAGATATAGGAATTCATGTTGGATCTCCCTTCTCTCTATAACACTGGACTAGAAAAATGGACTCTTCTCTGGAACTCCAGTGATTCCAACAATAGTCACATGGTTTTTGGATAATGATCCAATGGACTATGTCACCACAGAATGTTCAGCTCCACTATCTACCCTAGCTGATTACAGGCTCCTGCAGACCCAAAGAGATGGAGCCTAATCTGACCTAGTCCTCATTAGCTTTGGTTCCTGAAAGCCCAATTAGATCAGCACCTTGTTCTCTCTGGTAATGCCCTTTTGTGGAGGTGTCCCCTATCTTGTATTCTCCCTCATCTTTCTTGTCTTTTTCTAGACATTCATCCTTCTAATGCCCAGATGTTCTATATCATGCATACTGATTCCATGATAGTTTCTGATGGTTCCTAGATTTTGGTCTAGGCTGATCTTTACCTTGATTTTTTTATGTCCTCATTCCTTTATATCCTCTACCCTTTTCTCTGAGAGTACTGCCACCAGCAGATTTGTCTTTTATTAAGTATCCAGTTAGCTTCTTGGTTTATCTTGTCATCATAATTAACCCACATCTTAGTGGACACTTTCATGAGCTGAGTAGTATTCATATCAGCAAAACTTTCTAACTTTTGTAGTTTATGCCTGATGTTTCTCTCTTCCTGTCCCACAAAGGCAGCATTTGTCATGCACTGATTCTCAGCAGCCTTAAGATCAAAGG